CTGCAAATCCCTGCTTATAGGGCAGGAGAAAAGCGAGGGGTTTGCCCTTCCCAACAACCTTCACACAGGTTGTGAGCGTCCTGCCAGGTGCGAGTGTGCTACATGTTACTGCTGCACGCTAATCTGATTTTACGCTTTCTCTTTCTTGGCGATTGCTTTTGGTCATTGGCTACCTGAGTGATACAAGCCCAAAGAGCCCCAGCGCTAGGAGCAGAGCGACGGAATCCAGGGAGCAATCTGGCTCATTCGCTCACTTTCTCTCCCAGCAGGGAAGTTCATGACTGCCCCATGCAGAGGGACGTTTCTGACACGTCTCAGGCAAGAGCTCAGTGGCACTGTTAATAGAGCATGGCTGTCTCATTTGTAGGCTCTATTCATCTGACAGCTAAGAATTATCAGTACTGATGCTTCACTACCTCTCTTTTTCTCCAAGCTAGTGATTTGTCTATGTTATGGGTAGGTAAGCTTGACAAAACATTACACATTAGCAGCTGAGACGGTGTTTGAAATGGGAAAATTGCTAGCAAACTGCTCTATTAGAGACCCAAATAACAAATTCTTTCTTTCCCTCAATGGAAGAGAGATAGTTAAGGCCCAAATTAATACGTCTGTCTCCCTGACTCTGCAGGGGGAATCACTCTTCAAGACAAATGGCTTCATCACTCCTGAGAGTGTGAGCTGGCTCTACAAAGGCTGCATTAGGCAGAGTTTTTTATCCTTTGTGTTTTGCCATCCTGGGTGTGAGCAGTGCAGGCACCAGATGAGGAGGTGATGAAAAGATTTGCACCTCAGTGAACTTTGAGATGGATTAGCATGGGAATTTGAGTGCTTATTCTTTACTCTGGGATAGCTTTTCATATTTAACTGCATAGTTTCCCCCTGGTTTTTTTTTTTTCATGTTTACTTTTTGCTCTCATTTCTGCAAAGTCATTTGAAAAGTGGGAAGAAGGAGGACTTTATCCTGTCTAGCATCATGTTATTACAAGAAAAATGCATCTGAATCCTTTGGGCCCTCATACTTTCCAATCTCTAACAATATATTAGAGAAGAGAAAGGAAATTGTTCTTGTCCTTTGATGCCGTTGTCAAAGACTCTAAAATAAAGCTTCGAGAGGCAGACAGAGAATTGCTGCGTGTCAGAAGGGAGGGAGATATGCTTCAATTCATCTAAGCAGTACAGCTGGCAGCAGGCGACATGGCACAGTGAAATGGGTAACTGAAAGGAGGAACAAAAGCCCCTGAGAGGTTTGAACATGGCCAATTTATTTTATCAATTTCATGAATTCTGTTTGTGGAGTCTTTTAAATAGATCTTATTATGAAATATTAGATGAAAATCAAGGAAAATTTTATTGAGTTGTAAGCAATCTTAAATTTGGAGAATAGTAGTTCAAATGATCAAAATTTAGCCTTTTAGGACTGTGCCTCTTGTACAGAGTTCTCAAATGTGTTGTAAAATTATTTTATAGTGTATTCTGGTGATACACAAAAAAAATGAACTCACTGATGTTGCTTTGCACTAGCACAGGTCGTTTTATAGTGTATGACAGCACTTCATAGTACGCAGGGATAGACCATGAAAAATACAGGTTTCCAGAGGTCATGTTCTAGGTAAACTAGGTAATTTTCTCTGAAATAAAATGTGGCTGTAAAATTCAGATTACTCTTTCACTTTTTAGAGAAAAAAATGACAACACTAGGCGAGAACTCTGTTTTTCACTTTATTTGAAAGATGGCACCTCTAGCAGCAGTTTCCCATTATATCATGAATAACACTGGTTTATAATTAAGCCTTCATCGCCTTGAAATTGCCAACACCCCTTCTGGCAAAACCTAGTGTTTCCTAGAGATTTTTAATTCTGTACTGTCCTTCACGTGTCATTTATGAGCTCAGATGAGGTGAAAGCACAAAGTATTAATACAAATAATTTGTTTTCTACTATTTTAGTTGTGTAACTGCATTGTGATTTTCAACCTATGCCTGCCAATCTATAATATGCATTTATGAAAAAAATAAATGGAAGTCAGATTAATACTTCATACTTTTAAAATACTTGCTTATTTAACGCTGCACTTTATTTAATGTTCCAAGATCAATTGCATTTTGTGCCCAACTTGGAATCCACCAGCAAACAAACCCTGATCAGAACACACGGTACTGCTTGTTGCTTCTCTGGTAGCATCTGCAAAATGTAGTGCGCTAAGCATAATGTGTTATGTGCAGTCTTTAGTCCTTCATTTACAAAGAGCTTCATACAACAAAAAAACATGTAAGGTGCTAAGGTGAAAATATAGCAGCAGATGACAACAGCCTTGTCCATCTATTTCTGTACAGGCCATCTGCTGCAAATTTTTTAGGAAAGGGTGAAGAATCAGTACTGCTTGAGAAGGTAGCTCTCTGAAGCAACTCTTTTTCTGTATTCCTCTCCACCTTTTCCAGAAATTTCATTTTTTCTTATTACTCGGGATCTGTGGCCATTCCAATTTTGGCCTTTTTTGCCCTTTAGGGGCAAAATTTCTCTGTATATTTCCACCCTTGAGTCACTAAAATTTCCTTGGAATTTTAAGTGATTATAAAAAGGGGCTATGTTTTCCCCTCATCACTATATTTGAGTTTCCCTGTAAGGACTGCTATGCTGCACCTATGTGCAGCATGTGTGAACCCCCCAGTCTCCATCCATAAGACAAGGGAATTGAAGAGCCATGCCATGCCCTCTTTTGTTCCTAGAAGTGTCTTGCATAGAAATACTTGGGAGAAGTTAAACACCAAACTGGCAAGCTGACGAAAAGCCTTTATGGGAAGAATATGTGTACTGCTAATTCTGGTGACAAACACCCAACAATAGTAGCATGCTGAAGCTTACAGCAATTTATATTTCACTGTGTACTTGCCAGAAATGAAGCATGTTATATTTAGACCAACTGGAAGGGAAATCTCAGACACTAACTCAAATCACAAAACAAGGAGTAGAATTAACTCTGATCACAACCTTTAAAATAGATTGCTACAGAAATAAGAGTGCATGCACATTGACTGTTGTCCTGGTTTCGGCTGGGATAGAGTTAATTTTCTTTCTAGTAGCTGGTATAGTGTTGTTTCGGATTCAGTATGAGAAGAATGTTGATAACATGCTGATGTTTTCAGTTGTTGCTAAGTAGTGTTTATACCAAGTCAAGGATTTTTCAGCTTCTCATGCCCAGCCAGCAAGAAGGCTGGAGGGGCACAAGGAGTTGGGAGGGGACACAGCCAGGACAGCTGACCCAAACTGGCCAAAGGGATGTTCCATACCATGTGATGTCATGCCCAGTATATAAACTGGGGGGAGTTGCCCTAGGGGGATCGCTGCTCGGGAACTAACTGGGCATCGGTTGGCAAGTGGTGAGCAATTGCATTGTGCATCACTTGTTTTGTATATTCCAGTCCTTTTATTAGTATTGTCATTTTACTATTGTTATTATTATCATTATTAGTTTCTTCCTTTCTGTCCTATTAAACTGTTCTTATCTCAATCCATGAGTTTTACCTTTTTCCTTCCAATTTCCCCATCCCACCGTGTGGGGGGAGCGAGTGAGCGGCTGCCTGGTGCTTAGTGCTCGCCAGGGTTAAACCACAACAACTGTACAAGTTGACTGTGCAAGTATCACAATATTCATACTTAAATAGCTTCTTAGAGTATAACTGAGCTGGCAAAATATCTTATTTTCAAGGGGATTTTTCTTTTGTCTGTTGAAAGCACAGATCAACAGAAGGATATGCTGTGCAATAGAGGGCTGATGGGCCTTACACATTTTCTCTACATTATTCCCAAGTCATTTAAAAAACATGATTTACTTCTCCCTGCATATCAGTTTATCTCCATTCCTGGTTTTAAATTTTTTTTCTCCCCTCTGCATTGCTGCAGCAGCTCTAAATGACTGGAGTGATTCATTCCATCATTCCAGTATGGTTTTGTATTTCAATTCTAAACCATTTCCAACCACAGATTTTTGCTATTGAAACTGTTTCTTTTTATGACATTTTTGGAAAAAATACACGATGTTTGAATAATAAGAGCTAGGTAAAATCAAATTTTGCTTTCAGTTCCAACTCTGATTGTAGAATTTTAGCTGATGTGGTCATTTGAATTCGTTTTATGGGGGCCACTTTTACATTCCTAATTGAGATGAATATTTAGGGGTCATCTGAGGAGAAGACAGTCTTTTTAGCAGGAATTTGGGAAACTTGCTGACAAAGACTTGAAAATACGTCTGGCAAGGAACAGAAATCAATCTTAGTGGTTACTATATGCAGTATCTTAAAGCTGCTTACATTTTAGTGATAACGTGCATTTATGATGCTTCATAAAGAATACTTCTTTCAAACCAAATCTCAGAAATGAAAACAACAGCATTTTCATGCAGTCTGGACCATATTTTAGAATACCTTCAGTATTTGGTAGTTAAAATACGAAGATACAGTCCTGTTTTGCTCTGCTTTAACATAGACTCTACCTCTCCCTTGAAAATCTGGATTTATCTTGCAGTGAATTCCACTTTGGTTTTCAGCATGTTCACACAGATTGTTGCTCCTGAGTCACTCTGATAGTATTATTAATCTACTTATTAAGCTGTCACAACGTAGCATAGCTTTTAGTTTAGATAGCTACGTTCTATTTACAACTGCTAGTCAAGGAAAGCATCTGTATTTTCTACCTTACCTTTGGTTAAGTAGTAATAAAATTTGCCTACTATTTTTTATTAATTCCATGAGCTTTAAAGGTGCAATTTCTATAGCCTGTGACTTTTTTCTATACAGATTTAGTGTAATCAATGAGATTATTTTATTTTCTAAATTATTTTCTCAGTATTTTCTACATTTAGTGGCTTTCAAAAGAAAAATCTGATGTGCATAAAAATTCTATAAAATTATTTTATGTTTATATAAAAATTTGCTATCATGTTTAATGTTATTCCTGTCCTATATTTGTGTAGTTAACATGTATATTACTTTGTTTGTTTTCAGACGTTTGGAACAAAACCTCATCAAAATCATTCCCCCTGGAGCTTTTACGCAGTACAAGAAGCTTAAGAGAATGTAAGTTTTAATAAGACCAACATGCAAGAGCAATCATGAATCTTCTAGCTTCAATTTCAGTATCTGTATTTTAGAAACATATTGGCAATTTCTATGTTGAAATCACTGGGGATTGCACAAATAATCTCCTCAAAGTGTAAGCAACAATGGAATTTGGTTCAGGATGCCTAACAGTGCATGAAATCCTTACTAATGCTTAATTTCACTTCCTATTATAAACAATGTGAACTAATTAGTTGTTAGTCTGTTCAAACTTCAAATCTGCTTCCTCAGAAAATATTTTAAGTTCAGGTTTTTTTTCTCATTAATTCTGGTATCTGTTTGCACCACTTCAATTTAGTTGACCCCAGTTATAGCAGGAGTGCATGTTCTTGCGGAGTAGTTAAGATTTTTTTGTAGTGCATTCAATGTCCTGATGTTGAAATGGTTTGACTGTTTACAAGAAAACAAAGAAACCTGCTGGAGCTTGTTTTCTCGGTTTCTTAATCACCAGTAGATACCCAGACAATTCTTTTCTTATTAGCTCTTGTTTTCTCTTTGGATTTAAAAAAAATAAAAAAATCCTGATTTGTAGCAGTGCTCTCATGCAGATAACCTGGGCATTCCCCCTCGTCAGTCTTTCTCTTCATTTTTAAGTGATACATGAGAGATGTTGTGACAGTAGTACAATGACACAGATATGGTAAAACAAGTTACTCCTGCTTCACCATAGTACCGAGAATGTTGATGGGTGCCACTGGACCAGTAACTTCCAGAAGTCATTCAGGCTTTGTAGCTCAGTGCTAAGGCTGCCTTTACAGTTCTTGTTTTCTGATGTGAACAATACTTACTGGAATTAAGAAACTGTCAGTTCATTTCACAGAAGACACTGGATTATCAGATAGTTAATGCTTTGGGAAACTGAAATGATCTTGCGCTGTACCTTTGGATTTAAGGGTAAAATTCCTATGTTTGCCAGGCCAAACTTACCAACTTCCTAGAGCTGAAGAGCTGTAAATATGTATCTTAATATTTAACAGGTCAAATCATCAATCTTATAGAGTCTCTATTCTTCTGTCTCACTTTCAATATAGCTGTATGTATTTTTAAAGAAGTACTGTATTAGATAGCAAGATGGTAATTTCAGTGAAAAATGATGGATCCCTTTTCAGTGACCTAACTTGTAACTTTTTCATTATTAAAGTCACTACTTAGTCCTTTCTGAGGTATGACTAATTTTAGATTTTGGCAATGTTTTACTGTGCTTTCATTTTTCATGACTGGTGAACTCTAGTTTTATGGGAGTTGACCAAAATAATGTTCTTTAACTTGACTAGCTGCTCAACCCAATGCGGCACTTAGTATGTGAAATGATTAATGTTAGAATTTCACAGCAGAATTCCATTAGCAAGTTGTGTTAAGAGCTTTCTGGAGTATAATTGGCATACTCATTGAGATCTGAATTCATAGTTAAGTAATAAGTTATTGTGCCAGATGATCTGTATCAAAGCTTAGTTAGTGTGACAGCATGTTGTGGAAGAACTTGGGATAGATAGCTAGGCTGCAGAATGTCCCATAACAAACATGATGTTTTGCTATTTGGTTATTGACCTGTCTCCTTGTTAAAGTTTTATTCCTGCTGGACAGTGAGGCTCTAAATTGGGCATCACTGTTGTTACATAAAGTTTAATTGAGGATATTTGTTCCACTATTTGAAGAGATTATTGACATCATCTTTTCAGTGTGCAAGATTCCCAGTATTGTTAACACAAAAATATACTTTGGTCAAAAGACTACCTCTTAAAAGAAAAGAATTATCCATCCTTTTCCTTATAGAGGAAGGACATGTTTGGTATCACTGAAGTTGTCAGCCTTTCTTAATTTCAGTCACTTTGATTTCAGTGAGCAGTGATAGCATGATTTAATTAATTGATGCCCTACCCAGGGTACAAATGAAGAACGTTGTTATTATTATTGTTGTTGTTACTATTATTATTATTAACTATTATTTATAACAATTCTTTTATATAATTCAGAGGATAGTATTACAATAACATTGTGAATTGTATTGTATTTTTCTCCTTCTGGTGAATAAATATGCAAGAATGCTAGGGATCCTAGACTGCTCACTTGTAGTTCTCTCAGTATTTTGATTGTTTACTGAGTATTTCCTGCAAGATTATGCAGTTTTCTTTTCTTAAATGATTGGATAACTGAGATTAATTTTTAGGTAAAAGCCAGTTGTCCAAGATAATCTTTATATGACTTGATATTAATAGGTCAAGATGATAGCAGAAGATGCATGTATATTAATTCAAGTGTTACATTTGCATCTAGCAGAAGTTTGATGTTTAGATGGCCTCTTCAATAGCTTGCAAGATGGGAGAGTTATTATGGTGATTGGGTTTTAGCAAAGCAGCTGAAATCTTTTGTCTTAGACTTCATCATAATTGCTCACATCTTTTCACACAATTAATTACATGAAGCTAAATGTATCTGTCTCAGAAGGAAGATATGGCACCTGTAGGATTCAAATATGCAGTTGAATGATATAATTTGGGATGATGGTTCCCCTGATTTTAGGGTGAATATAACAGGTCCTACCTCTGTGCTCAATTATTCAAGGGTTTTAGAAGAGGTTTGAGGGGCTTGGAGGAGATACATCACATCTTCAGAGACAGAAGTTGTTGTCATTATTACATGAAGTATCCAGGCCCAGACATGCCATTTTGAATTAATTTACATAGCAGTTGAGCTTGTACCATAGGTCTGTAACTTCTAGCCTATGAGTTCCAAAGTTTATGGCATTACCTCCCATTTTGTCTTTGCTTTTTCTGAGGCTTTTCACTAACAAGTTTGTAGCACAAGACTAAGAGCCAACTACATAGATCCACTTTGAAAGATGTGGTTGTACCTCTCTAGCCCTGATGCTTGCAGGGAATTTCATGTTGTCAAATCAATTTTACCATATATTAGCAGAAAACACGTTGAGATTTCACAATCTCCTCAGTAGCTCTGTGGCATTGCTACTTTTGTTAAGCAGATTCTAAAAACTAAACCATATATGACATGGATTTTTGCTGAATACTCTTGTCAAATGAGAACAGTCCATTTTACATGTTAGAGATAATCAAGTGATCTGTTTCTAATAATATTAGTCGACAAAGAGAATATTCATCCAATGCTATTAATAGTTTTGCATTTGGCTACGTCTAAAAATAAATCTGTTTTGTTTCAAAACCTTTTACAGTAAAGACATTTAAGCCATACAGTCATATGTTATACAGTGACTCACAGGGTATCCTTGCTCCCCTGGTGCAAAGTCAAAAACAGTTTATGTCCCTAACTGGTAACTGAACAGAGACGCCCTCCAAGGTGTCTTCAACAACCTTTTGAAAGAAGATCTCTACCGTGCTGTCAGAGGTGCAGGGAGACTAGTATGAGATGACTAATGTATTCCCTGCCTGGGTGGAATCCTGATAAGTTTATTACATTTCCAGCTAAAGAGCTACATTTCCACTGAGTGATTCAGAGATACCCCAAACTATGAAAATGAGCCTTAAGCGATCTAAATTGACTTAGCTGTCATGCAGGTTAGAAAAACCCATATCTCTGTCTTGATATAAATCAAACACAGAATAGGATGATCTTACCAAAGCAGACCAAAGGAAGGGAACAAAAGTACAAGGACATAATCGAATCCCTTTGCCTCAGTCAAGTCAGAAGGAGATGGAGCCTCCTTATCCAACAGCAGTGGAGCTTGGGCTCTAATGGAAAGGAAATAATGTGTCTAATTATCTTCTAATGCTGATTGTAGTGCATCTGCATGAAGTGAGTGAGTGTCATCACCCAGCATGGCATTTATGCACGTTCAGGCACCATTAGTTAGTTATACATTCATTAGCATCCGGACATGGGGAGAGAGAAAGGATGGAAATGTTGAAATGTAGCAAATCAATAAAATAGTGCTGAAATACTTGTTTCAAAAACTAGATGCCCCTTTTCAGATGCTCGCCATTGTTCAGAAAACTCACGATTTCATGTCATTGTAATAGGTTTTAATATGTTCCTCAATAAATAGATAGCATAGAATTCACATCAGAATTCTGCATACATAAGAATTACTAGATAAAAAGCAGCAAATGCTACCAGACAGTCTAAACAAGTTTCACAGAAACCTGTATAAAAAATAAATATTCCTACTTTCATTGTCACAAATTTGGCTGCTGTGAGTTGAGCTGAAGAAACCTTCACTGAATGCTGTCCTTGTAGGCAGGATGTTGTAATAGAAAACATCAGTAGGTTGCAGACCAGTTGTTTCATGAGCCTTACAAAAGAACTGAGCCTCATAAAAGAACCAAAGAATATCCTATTTTATATGGCTAGATTTGAAAACAGTTAGAGGACTTAATTAAAATTTTAACCAACAGAATTTGTAGCTCGAAACATGTACAGAATAGAAAACTCTCTTACTTTCTGATTCCTTCTTGTTCAAGTGATGTTTAGAGTCTGACTGGGTTCCTTAGCATGTGCCCCAGTGGAAATAACAGTGAAGATGTACATGAAATCCTGCATGAGTCCAGCTATCACTGAAAAGATTTGATGCTACTGATACAAGCTGATACCAACTGTCAGTGAATGCAACAAGGTGGCTGAAAGTTATGCCTGTAGCTAAGCACCTGGTTGAGCTGACTGACAGAAAGATTGGATTGCAGTGACAGTCATGATAAGGCACCCAGTTCTGATCATCTGGGTCCCAAGTGTAGTAATTTTGGCTCCATATATAAAGAAATTGTGGCATAGTCTGTATTTATCTTCGTGTACTTGGTTGGTTGTGATTAAAATTGAAAGGTATTTTCCAAACCAGGAACATGCTTCCCCCTGAAAATGACAGCAGACTATAACTGAATTCCACTCACATCATAGCTGAAAGGGTGGAACTTGCTTGGGCTCTCTGACAGGGTCTGCAGCACGCTGGGTGTTCCCCACAGTGCTGCTGGTTTCAAAGGTCCACGATTTCCATTCAGATGCTCAAAGGCTTTCCTTAGTGTCTGAAAAGTCTAGGCAGACCTGCCAGTGCTGTGTCAACCCTCTTCTCACCTGCTTCACCAGATCACGGTCATTGTAGAATTTTGTACTGCTTGTTTTCTCTAGGCCATTAAAAACCAAACATCACCAGCAGAATGCCAAACTCCTCAGTGGCACTGGTGCCTCCTTTGGGATCAGGGGCTGGGTAGTCTGTTTCCCATGGCTTTTCCCATTGATATTAAACAGAGATGGTGTGGGAAAAGTCTTACCTCAGAAGAATTTTATCATCCTAAGAATTACTGATATCGTTTCATATAAATTGAGACAAGCCCTCCGTGGAATTTCCTGGGGTTTTGATGGGAAATTTGTTTGACTATACTACATGTTTCTGGTATTTATGCATATGTTCATCTTTACATCTCATTTACCACAAGGCTTCTTCTCTTAGACAAACACAGTCTTGCTGCCAGCTCAGAAGCCGTTCCCCTGGCGCCTACACCATGCTGACACCATTAATCCCACCATCTTCCTTAATGCATGTCCAGCTACCTTAGAAAACCTCTCCTCACCTTATCTATGATTTCACTTCTAATCAAAATATGATCTTCTGCACTGTTATAGAGTGAGCTTTCCATGCCTGCATTTAAACATTCAGACAACTGTTATGCCTTGTCATAGGCTGCTCCTCATGCTTGAGGGCCACCCCACAGAGTCACAATGCAATCTCCATTATTAATACTTCTTAAGATGGTTTTATCAACCATTTTTTTTTCAATGGCCTACCTCACTGTTGTTCTTCAAAGCTCTTCATAAAACTCTTCATTTCAATATCCATAAAATGAAAGGCCTTATTAACAGGGGAGCTGCCAATTTATTGAGGCTATGGCCTGTCATGCTGACTGATGTTTTCTGATCATTCCTGGAATTTGCCTATCTGTGTCTTTACATAGCTCATAGTTTCTCTGAGGTAATATGATCTTATAGTTCTGTGTTTGTATCAAGTATATTCTTCCAATAAACTACAGCTAAAATATTTTCATCAAATTCCTGTTTACGAATATTTTTTTAATCCTCTCTTCTCTTTGCAGAGATATCAGCAAGAATCAGATATCTGACATTGCGCCTGATGCATTCAAAGGCTTGAAATCTCTCATTTCATTGTAAGTAGAAAATAGAACTGAATGGGCATTTGGGGAGAGCTTGCATGTAAGAGAAATAAAAATGATAATGTGCTGTCTGGGACAACTTATGTTTCTGTGTGCAATTGCCAGCTTGTGTGAAGCATCTGATCTTTTGTAAATGAAAAATTGGTCATGAAGGTTAGAAGAAGGAACTGTTTACACATCTCTAGTAAGTTCTTTTATAGATGAACCCCAAGGTTACTGACTTGTTCATTTCTTTAAATCAGTGCACTAGTTGATCTACTGTACCTGCAAGCTAATCCATGCCCCCCAACTCATCATGGCTCACAAAAACCTCATCATAGCTCAGACACTGTTTGGTGGTGCTAATCAGGGAGGAGTTAAGAGGAAATACTTCCATACTGAATTTTTCTTCTCTATTAAAGAACTGAGATTGCACTCACTTGTGAGTTTTTTGGTTTATTTGGTTTTGGGGTGTTTTTTTTTCAAACTAGGAAGGAAGAACCTAAGCTCTTAAGAAAATGTTTATTTTTCTCAGCTATAATTACTACTTTATTAAGCTGGAAGGGGACTAAAATATGACTTCATACAGAAGATAAAAGGAAGGTAGTATCTCTTGACAACCATTCATTTCTCTTTATAGAACACAGAAACTGTTTTAGCACCAAGTTGAATTAAAATGTAGCCATATTTCAATCTAGCTACCCGCAGCACTGTTAACACAGTGGAGCTTTTAATGGGTAAAAGGAGCAATACAAGGTCAGAAGCTGCATATGGAGAATGAACTGGAATAGAGTGTTAGAAAGATCCCCAGGTTGAGAGAAGAGGGTAAGCTGAACTGGAATGATATTTACCTGCATTAATTTTAAAGACAGTTTTAAAACATTTAGCTCATTAATATTCATATAACACAGTTTGATTTTTAAGAGTGTACTTTATTTCTAAAAGCTGACATAAATTTATTCTCTGAATACCGGATAATTCTAACAACCTATATAACTTGTTGACTAGTACTAATATTAGAAGGTTATTCAGTACTAAACTTATATGTTGCAGTAGACTTCTGAGCCAGAATGCAGAAGGATGGGCCTTTTTTTGTGCCCTGAATCCAGCTGGGAGAATGCCAGAAATACATATTAAGTGTTGCTAGCCTTTGTTGAATAGTTAGAGTGGTGTTATTCAACATGCTGTGGAAATGGTCAAATCCCTCAATGCTGTCTGGAAACGATTCAGTAGGAGAATGACATTTACTGAACACTACAGTTTTGGCTTAGTATGAAACTACTGCTGATGCTGCAATGCTACAGCTTTCTGGTCTTGGCAAACCTCCTGGCTATGAGCAAGCTGGACAGGCAAGACATTTCTACTTGGGTTGACTTCCCAACTCAGAATTTATTCGACTTTAGCTATTAGCTACTTCAGATGCCCCCAAGTGGCCTCAGGAGTGGGACAGAACACATCAGAGTGGACAGAGAGGAAAAGAGAATATAAACTGGGCAGGAATTTATAGTGTTTCGACTTGCACACAGAAGCAAGTGAAATGCCTGTTTAAATATGTTTATATCCAAGTGGGTAAAATAGTGCTTAAGTTAATGGTAGGAGGTTACAAGGGGGAAGAGAGAGGGCGGAGAGATGAGATGCAGCACAGAAAGGGCTATAGTAAGGGAACTGCCTCTGAGCAGTCTTTCCTTTGTTCAGCATTTGTCTCTGCCTCAGTTTCCTTCTACTGCAGCCACACAAAGCTGTTGTAACGCACAGTCTGTTTCTCCTTTCTTTGGCAGACTGGTGTCTAGGACAGTATTGACTCCAGCCTTGAAATTGTCAGCCTCCTCCTCTAAGTTCAGTTGTCCATTGTGCTTGCCATTGGCTTTTACTTTCTTTTGAAAGGTTTTATTCTTGCTGTTCATTGCAGGTAGGTCTTACAAATCTTTTCCCTATGGCTGATAGGCAAGAGTTAGTTTCCTGATATTTCATGACCTGTCACCTAGACCTCTGGCAGGTTCTTCCCTGTTGGTCACTTCTGTAGTTGTTTCAGTTTCTGAGCCCTAGATATCTTTATGGAACAAGATTATCTGCTGTGCTGCAGAATCTGGGTTTCTCTGAAGAAACCTCCCCCAGGCTTCTACTTCTGAGAAGTAGAGGATCTTCTTTCATCTGATCTCTGCTGGAGCCACCAGTACAGTTCTGTCAACTGCAGAAAGACAAGTAAGTGCAAGAGAAGAAACTTCCTTTGAAGTTTGCCAAGCCTCCCAATGAAACTGCCAAAGGGGAGAGAACAAGGAGGTAGAAATGAAGTAAAACAGTTTGCTTACTAGTGTTTTCCCTTTTAGGCGGCTCAGTCTTTTTGGTGCCTGAGGCCCCAAAAACTTTAGTCAGCTGTGTACCCTGAAGGAATACTGCTCTGCACACAATGCTTCAGCTCATCTGAGAGTAACTTTTATTTTTCATATATGTAACTCAAATGTGATCAGTGGCATACATTTTAATGAGACACCATCGAGGTTTAATCTGTGCACAGAGCAGCTGGACTTTTCAGCTGGCTAAGTTAAACAAGAATAAAGGAGGGGAAAATATTAATGCACAAATGAAAGTAAGCAACTTTGTTTCCATTAAAAATGGAGCTCTGCTGCACTGCCTAAAATCCTTGCTTTTTTTTCCTCTGCATTATTCCCATTTTCTGCTCCTCCCTTTACTCCTTGCTTCCATGCAATTGCAGTGCTCTCTATGGGTCTAAGAGAGTGAAAGTGCTTATCTGGAAGACAGCCAACATTGTTAGTCTAGCTGGCTAATGGAAGCCTATATATAGTGGGTTGCTACACTACTTTCTTCTGAAGTTAACTTAGGTTAGTGTTTCCAGGCAGAACTGTTTCTCAGAGTACTCTGCCTATTGTACCTATGTAGAGATGGAAAAAAAATGGTGTATTATAGTTTTCAAAACACAGGAATGTTTATTACAGAAGCAGTTTCCCCTAAAATGTATAAAACTTAAATCTTTTAAAAGAGCTGAATGATCCATATGCTAGCAGGTTATAGGTTTTTATTTTAAATCTATATGTTTTCTCTAACAAGAAATCCACCTATGGGAGTCAAACAGGTCACAAAGTCTTAATACTTTAAATAAGCCATTTCTACCTTAGGTTTTCTCTGCATTTAACAAGAGAAAGGCAAGCTTGTTCTTGTAAGGACTCAAGACTTCTCCATTCCCCACACACAGGAAGAAAAAAATTGTTTTCTCCATGCCCATTTTTCAGTGGGATTTTGTCCCTTTTCATATAATGACTCTGTGGAACAAGGAATTCCTACTCTGTTTTTCTTAGAAATATTTGGGTATGTACATAATTTTTTTTCTTCTTCACAGAGTTTTCTGGCTTTTCCTTTTCCCCTTGTTGTGTCACATGCAGGTGGCACTGTGAATCACTGGTCACCTCTGGGTCTGTATGTTCTGTGGATTTAATTCTGTTACAGTGTCTGAAGTTCCCTTTCAAAATTTAGGCACTAGGGCTTGGATCCTTAGCATATTTTGGTATGAACCAAACTTCAAACCTGTTTATGGACAAAACTGAAGATACAGTAAGATCCACCCTCTGGTTTTGAGAGAATAGAGCTGTGGAGAGATTGCTATAAAGCCATTGTGGAGAATGGAGGGTGTTGTGAATCAAGGCCTGAGAAAAAGGATCTTTAGTCTTAAAGATGCTACTCTGAGTTCTGGGAGGAAGAAGTTATGTTGCGTAATTTCAGTGACAGCTGTTGGACAAATAAACTGATTGCCTCTACCAAAGTCTCCCCTCTTGAAAAAGTGGAAGTATTTCTCTGTCTCAAAGAGATGATATAAGGGTGTATACATTGAAGGCTGTGAGATGTAGTGATACTGCAGTACTTGGGACCATATGAAATATCCAAGATGAGAAACAAATAATTAGAAGATTTGACTCTCAAAAAATAGTAGGCAGCACAGATATAAGTGAGCCATGATAAGATAGCCATGGCTTTTGTGTTGGAAGGATTAGACTTGCCATCCAGTACTTCTTTCCATATAAACACGAGAGCAAGTAGTATCCTTGCATTGAGAAGTGTGGCAAAATTGGTTGCTGCAAAAGAATGTGTTATCTTAATTTTAAGCAAAAGTTTGAGAAATGCTCTATTTGTAGTACACTGTGTTTGTGTTACATACTTAGAGTTGCACTTAGCTGGAGTTGGAGTGGTTAATAACTCAGCGCAGAACATGGGGGCTAAGTTATGAATAGTTTCATGTTTCAAGATTGCTGCATGCACTTTCTGAAGTAAATTAATTTTTCATTTAATCAACTCAAAATCTGTCTAATATCAGTGAGAGGATTGTATCAGCATTTGGTTATTGTTAAAAGTATCGAAGATAAATGTTATTCTTGGGGTCAGTAAACTTCCCACAAATGTAGGTTTGGAAGGCCATATCCAGACTGTCTGGGGACATTTTATGAGATATGACAAAATAGTCTAAGCCTTCAGTGTGTTAAACTGAATGAATAAATTTTAGACCACTGCAGACAGAGAATTCCTTTGCTTTTGTTCATATACTGAATTAAGCTAGTGAACAATTTAAAAGCTTAGATCAGCCTGGGCACAAAGACAAGAGACAGCTTAGATTTTGACATAGCAGTCCCATTTAGACCATCATCTCCTGGGTGATGATGTATGTGGTGTCATTCATGGTGATTTGAAATCTGCAATAAAACACTGTCTATTGCAATAACTGCCAAACTTATTTTAAGGTAACAAATTGCTTTGGATAGTTCTACTGTGATTTATTTAGCCTAACTTGTTCTGAAGAAATATGAAATAGTGCAGGGAAAAAAAATTACATGTCTAAGTGTCTTTCAGATATTAGAAATTTATTGCTGTTTTTACCCCTATCAATTCCCCCTCTTTTGAAAACTTGAATTCTTATTGAGCCTGTGCCATTGTATGCAGCTTGGGAAATATAATTCTTCCTAGCAAGAATTGTTTTCACAGTCTGAAGGCAAGTTAAAAGCATTCTGAGG